AGGGCTACAAATGAACCTTGTGAAGACACTTCGTGCTGATTAATTCCTTCTAAAAATTTTTGCTCTCAATCTTTATGTCTCAAAAAGACTTTCATTCATCGCTTCATGAATTAGATGATTCAGTTTCCATGTCGTGTTGGTCAGAGTCATATTTAGAATTAGAAGAATTGCACTCTTTTAAGAATATTAGTCTAGTCCATAACGACTTTAAATGTGCTTTTGCTCTGTCTACTTGATTGTCGTCTAAAACTACCTTATACCGAGGGTCCAAAAATATCCCAGCAAGAATTACTTCATAATCTAATAGCATAACTTCTCCATCCTCCATTTTCCTTAAGATAACTGTTGCAAAGGAAGAACCTGTGGAAGGATTATTTTATATTCATTCAGGAGGATAAATGATTATTTTCATTTTTCATTTGCTTGTAAAATGTACAGTAATTTCTTTCAAACGTTACAAGCAGAACCGGAAAACACTGAAAAAACCGTTACGGTTCCGGTTCCAAAAAACCGGTTCCGTTCCGGTTTTGGGTCCAAATCGGTTCCGGTTCCGGTCCCTGGTTTGCAGGCTTTGGAGCGTGTTTTCGCTCTGCTTGTTTATATGAATATCTTAATTGCTTCAAATCGAGGGAAGAATTTTGTAATATTCCTGATACACTTGATGATGTTGAAGGTCTGGAAGCCGGGAAAGCCTCTCCAGTTATTTCACAGTTATTGTGGAAAAATATTTTTAAATTTCCTGGAAACTTTCCGGGATTAAGTTCAGATTTTCCTAGTAAGTTAAATGGAAAATTTGCTGAACTTACAGCAAACTTTGAGCAACAAATATCTGGATCAATCAAACTAGTCACTTCTTGCGCATTTATTAAATACGGAAACTTTCTAGCTTTTGTGCAGGTTTCATTAAAAAATTTAAAGTCAGGAAATACTTTTACAAACTATTCTGATTGTTGCTCAATTTTTTTATGTCGAATACCGACAATCTTAGCTCAGTATATCATACATTAATTAAATGAAATAAACACAAAATATTAACTAACACCCGGTATATTGAAGAATTTGCAAACCAAAAATAATATCCTCAGAATGCAAAGAAAAATAGCTGAAAGTAAAAGAAATCAATATAAACAGTATTTTATTTGCCTTGTGTCCAAAATGGACAAAATTAATACTCCAAATATATGCCAAGGCTTAAAGCAGCAACAACGCTACACGTGTAAGTAAAAATATTTAAGTATCTGAACAAACAATTAGGCCTACTTAATTTTAGAATGTTTTAAAGTGTTGCAATTGTGATGTATTTTAATGTGTGATATGATGAGGCTGTTGAACTGTGGTTGTTTTTTAAATTAATGAATTTTTTTTAACTATCTGTTATTTTAGAAAAACTGACGATGGTGGAAAAATACACCGAAACGTATTTTGATTAATAAATAGAGACACTAAAGGACTGAAACCCAGGAATAAATTTGATTTTAAATAACGCCAATTTTTGGCCAAGAAATCGCTTAAAGCAGCGTAATTTTTGTTTCCAATTTTCCAATAAATTAAGGCTTTTGTCTTAGTTTGCAAGTGCAGGTCACCATTTGGAACTTGCAAATTTCCCAAACGGTTCTTGCGTCTTTGAGAATGACCAGTAATTTTTTCATTTTTACAACAGTGAAAATTTCTAGTTAAACTTACGCCTGGAATTGTCCCACTTTTCCTCTTAACGCGTGTCCTTACTGACGATATTTGCAGGATTTGCCCACACAGCTTATCTCAAGGCTTCCATGCAGTCAGTCTAAAATTTTCTCGGTTTCCGTGTTTGTTTTAAAGCAATTGCAGGTTTTATTGCTTTGAAAAGCTCTCAGACTTGAAGGTAAGTGCGAGCAAAACAAACTGTTATGCCAGTGCTGCGATACTTTAGTTGGCAAATTTCAATAAATTAACCCGTATACTTTGGCGGTTTTGAATCGATTGAGACTCTTAATGTTCAAGACAATGCAAAAACATTAGATTCAGATTTAATGTTGCTTCAGATACGTTTTTCTAAGCGTTATTCGAACATCAATCAAACAAATTCAGCATCCGGCATGAGCTTCACCACTTCAACGCCGTGCCACCCTATGCAATTGCACTTTTGCGCTTTTTTTCTCAAATTTTCTTGCCTTTAAATCCGAGCTTTAGATATAACCTTCTAAGAAGAATTATCCGGCGGTCTAAAAATATTTGCGGATCGATCAGGATTTAGAATTTTGCTTCTTCCGTGCTATTCTGGCAACGGTCTTCAATCATTTTGCTATATGAATTTAAGCAACAGACACAAATAGACAACAAAAGATTTTCCGAAAATTTGCAAACTCCGCAACAAAACTCATGTAAATCACCCGAAAAATCCGAAGTTTTTCAATCAACAGTGAATTTGCATGGAAACTCCTTTTCATAAAGCCTGCACATTTGGATAAAGCCCTTTAATCGACCCCCGAAACGCAATTACGTGGATCATCAATAAAAAACCCTTTGGTGTGTTAACAGCGAAAAGAGGGCAAGTCAAGTAGATCAGCATGTCCCTTAATCAGTGTGACCGAAGACCGACCGCTCTAAATTGCTTTGACTATAAATCGAAAAAGGATCGAGAGAAGCAAAGTCGCCGTAAAACTAACCAACCTTTGGAAATTGTCAGTAAAAATTGGCTGCAGTTTCACTCAGGTACAACAAACACGAACTTTGAGCGTTCAAGAGCCGAACGACACAGAAAAATGTCGAAAACCCGCAAAAAAGCACCCTTATCCTAAACCGCCACATGCATAATATATTATACGGGTTTTATTTATAAGTTGCGAATTTGCCCTTATGCATCATCAACTGCTTGTCAAGGCTTTCGTTTTTCATAAATCTCTGAAAGGAAACTTTCCTTTCTCTGTATATCATAACATATCTTAACCACTTTTTAATGCCCGATGTGGGGGAGATTTTGCTCCATGATTTATGGATGCTGTTTAGGACTGTTTTTTAAGCCACTCGGTCACTGCCTTTGCATGAAAAGGAAATTGAATTGAATAAAGCATGTTGCTTCAGGAGTGCGGATATTTTTAGGCGATTCTATTGCCCGTTTTTGTTCCCCAGTTACAGTGGGAGCCGTTAAATGTTAAGGTAAAATGCAGATTTTCCATAATTTCTTGCCGAAACTTTACAACTTAAGGGTAAGGTAACAAGAGGCAGCTCCACATTGCCATCGGCTGTTGATGGCATAACAAGCAACTACCAGGCCTCATATCCGGAAAACGGGTAATTTATTCAAATCACCTTAAAGCTTGTTTGGTAGCTCACACGTAGCTTAATAACACAATGGGGAAAACTTCGGGGAAATGACGATCTAAGGGAGAGTGAGTGGCTTCACATTAATTGCGTGCGAGAACATCAACTTTCGCAGGGAAGTCGTAAAATATTTTAAACGAACTTCTGGAATTGAGAAATTGCACATCAAATTTTGGGATTGCTTTTTGCAAACACCATTTTGAAGATGCATGCAACTCGTGCTTGCGAAACGTCAGGACGAAATCCTTTCCCAGGAAAAACGCGAAAAAACTGATCAATTTCCTTCAATGACCGGGCGAAGTTAACTTGAATTGTGGCCAAATGATCAATAACGGCGGTTTAAAATATATGTTGGCCGCAAAATATATTATAATTATTGCCCTGTCAACTGTAATGGTTATTGAATTTAAAGCTTAATTGCGTTATAAATAATGTTCAAAAAATTGGTCACTGACGTTACCCTCATCAAAAACGCACCCTAATCATTTCGGCTACATTGAATATTTATGCGAACCGTGAATTATCCAGTCGATTTTGCAGTTTTTATTTTTATAAACATTTTTCGATTCCAAAGCAGATTTAAAGATTTGCCAATAAATAGCTCAATCAACTCCCTTATCGAATAACGCAGTTTTCAAACATGACCAATAAATTCGCCGCTTAATTGGTTTAAATTTCAAATTAATTTTAAGCCTATTTATGCTATTGGTGGTATTATTTGCGCACATTTACCTATGGATAATAGTAATATAAATTCATACAACCCGAGTGGCGCTCATTATGTTGTGCTTGTTTAAAATGTAACATGATCGCTTATCGATAAGTTTCCAGCTAATTGAAACATGAAACTATTGAGCTTTGTTTATTAATAATTTCAGCATTAACTAATTTGTGTTTCTCTTGCAGGCGCATGATACTTGAACTGTGCAACTTGTTTCCGTTCAGAACATGTTCAGCTTCGGTAAGTGAGACCAAGTTTTTCTGTGGTTTCTGGAATTTTTTTTATTGATGCAACACTAATATTTCATAACTAGTAAATCTGCCTTTAAAAGGTAACTGAAAAACTACAGAATTGTTACTATGACTTAACTCAAAGATAATAGGAACCGCGGGAATTATCAGAAGCAATGATTCGATTAGGACACGCGAAGGGTTTTGCGGACTTTTTGATGAATTTGAATGTGAATAAATGATTGGCTGTTTAAAGCGAAAATAAATTTACAACTTACCATAGTTCTATATTTTGGGAACATTTGAATTTAAAGTCTAGTTTTGGCATTCAAGTGAAATTTTGATGGAAAAATCATACAAAAAACAGTTAGAATGTAATTTTTTCGGTATCGAACCGAGATCACTTCCTTTCAGTTTTATAAATTCTTAAGATTCATGGATCAATTATTTGTATTCAAATTTTAACAAAAAGCGACACGACAAATTTCAAAGGCAATAAAGCAGTCAAAACATTATGTGCTAAAAAAGTTAGTTTCTTATAATTTCAAATCTCCTAACTGAAATGTTTCAATAATTTTGTTTTACACTTTAATTATATTCTTATCTTTCCTGGGTCTCAGTCAAAGTGGGAAGTCAAAAATTTTGACTATCGTCTATTTCATTACGTTTCGGCGAGACAACAGCGCCATCATCAATCAGCTTAAATTTGTCTTTGTTGAGACAAATTTAAGGTTTCAAGAAGGCAAAGACCAAAAAGAACGTTAATATTTACCAATTATGAGTTTGTGTAAATTTTAAATCTGATGATGACGCTGTTGTCTCGCCGAAACGTAATGAAATAAACGATATTCAAAATTTTTACTTAATACTTTGACTCTGTTTTAATTTGTCGCAACAAAGACAAATTTAAGGT